CTACAGGATGATAGAGACGTTGGTGAGCAGGTAATGCAGGAAATAAAGAGAAGTAGTGGTCGGAAGCCGAGGGAAGAATCACGTGTACGGCGCTGTGGCAACTGCGGAGAGACTGGTCATAATACGCGCACCTGTAATATTATAGAGGAAGTATCTGAGGAAGAAATTTCTGAATAGTGTTTTTTAATTAGAGGCGTTGTGGTAGAGTTCTTACAATTTCCATCGCGAGTGTAGAAAATTTTGGCCGGTTCGCTTGTTTGGCCGGTTCGCTATACATGCACGTTATTTATAGAGAATATATTTAGCCTACTAATAGTTAGTACGCGTTCCTACTACGTATTCGCTTATAGTTAGTAGAAGTAAGTATATTATCTAACTAAACTATCTTTTACTAGAATTAATTTTTTAGCTATAAGCTTCTATATAAGCTTAAAAGGAAGCTATTTATTAACTCTATAATATAGTATTCTATAAGGTAAATATAACTATAGCGTATAAGGTACTATAGGAGAGAGAGTACCTAGAAGATATAAAGTATATATTTTATTAGAGTACTAAGAGTATATTGTCACGAATCACGTGTAGCAATGCATGTGACAAAGGAAGTCCAGGCGGCGTCCTGACAGGTTAAGCACATCCATGGACTTATAGCAAAAAGGGATCAGTTAGACTAGCTAAGCGATCCAGGGATTTCTTCTGGTTAGAAAATCACGTGATCTAATCGCCTGAGTCGCCTGTCGACTGAAGCGATCAGGGTGAGCGACTAGAGCGATCAATCAGGGAACGAAGGTTCTATATAAGACTGGCACGTCTGCCATTAGATAGGAGCTTCGTGCTCAACTTAGTTATCAATCTTATCATATTAGTTTGACATCTTTGATACAAGTAACGAGTTCACTTCCAAGTGAACAACCCGATAGTCTTCTTCTTATCATAGCATACCAACCAGCGAACACCCAGCCAAGTTTAGTTAGCCAGTTTGAGTATTCGTTACAGGCCAGTTAAATTAGTACCGAAACAGGAATACTATCTAGTCTTACCCTTATAAAAGTACGAAAAGCGGTAGTATACTTATACTAACTAGTACTATACTAACTTCGTACTAATTTCGGAGTTAGTACGGTACCGACTTTCTAAATGAACGTATTTCTAATAATAAATAAAAGTTAGTATAATACCGACTTTCTAAAATTAACGTACTTTTTAAAAAATTAATCTTTTTATAATTTTAATTTTAGTATTCTAAATATTAAGAATAATAAACTATATCCCTTTACTAAGTCTACGTACTATAATATACGATTTATACTCTTTATTTAATTATTACTATAAGAATTCCCCTTTCCGCCTTATATTATAAAAGGCCTCTATTTTAATTATATAGCGCGTATAGCCCTACTACCCTTTATATTATACTAGATTCTAAAAACTACTTACGCTTATTATATACTTTATAATAGACCTCTATTCTTGTCACGGATGCCAACAAAGGATAAAGTGTATACAGCTTTTGAATCAATTGCTAGAACTAAAACCGTAGGTACGAAGAAATCAAACTAAAGAGAGANAGAGAATCTGAAAGGAGCGAAGTTATTTAAGTTGTTCCAATGCCAAGTCTCGTCACGTGCTTGGCCAAGCGAATGAAATCCTGT